AAGTGTCAACTGGCACTTAGAGGGGAAGGTGTAATAGATGGCCGTGCAAAACTGGGAATTGATCCAAGCATTCAGTATGCAAAATGATAAAATCCATAGCAAAAGTGTAGATAATTAGACCTTACAAAATAGAGGCTTCTAATAGGGTTAAAATAGTAGTGCCTGTTTTCTTCATTTTTCCCCTCTGAGATATAATTCATGATTTGTAAGAAAAATGTGGAAGTCCACTATTTTGTATATTCTAAAATTTTTTTTAACTAAAAGGGACTATTTTATACACTCTTTCACATGTATAATATATTTCACAATTAAAAACAAATGAAAAGTGGCTAAACAACATACATGAAAAACCATACTGTCTGTCAAGGAATGAACACGGCAGCTCCTATTATATGGGCTCCAAGGTACATACATGGTCAAGTGAAAAAAATTAAGGTGAACAGCAGTGTCTGTGATGTCACCCTTTGAGTACAAAGGAACATACACTCTTATATACTTGTACAAGCATAGACTATCTTGAGAAGGATACACAAGAACTTGGTTGCCTCTAGGGAGGAGAAATGAGTGGCTGGGGACAAGGTTGGGATGGAGACTTACTTTTCACTGTGTGCTCTTTTGTGCGTTATGAATTTTATACCATGGGCATGGATTGTCTATTCAAAGAATAAAATACCCAGTTTCAAAAGAAGATGAGCACCTGCATCGCAACCTGGGCCAGCGGGCCACCTTCTCTGTTGGCGGCAGGAGTGAAGCCCTGGCCATCCTACCTCTCATTTCACAATCCAGGCAGCAATAAAGCTCTGTTCATCTCAGCTCCGGCTCCACAACCAGGGCTCAGCGGGTGAACCGATGGCCCAGCAGCAGTGGCAGCAGTGAAGCCCCAAGTCGTTAAGCCCCTGCTCCACAGCTGGGTCCCAGTGGACAGTCTGATCTTCCTGAAGTGACAGCAGCAAAGACCTAGGCCATTCCAATCCCCACTCCACAGCTGAGACACTTGCAGGCAGTCCCATCTACCAGCAGCAGTGGGATGGAGAGGAGCCCTGGTAAAACCTGAAGAACAAAGCAGATAAGAATAAACATTGCATTCTTTAAACCAAACAATAATTAGCTTCATTAGTAAAGAACGTTTGCCTTGAGCATTGAGCTCTTTTAAAGAACTATGTACGTGGGATCAAACTGGCAACAATTCAAAAGAGTGGTTAGGAAACTTAGAGGGCAGTGAATTTATGTTAATGGGGGAGGAACAACTCAGAAAAGGAGGGTGAGAATGGTTGCACAACTTGAAGAATGTCATCAATGTCACTCAACTGTACGTGTAGAAATTGTTAAATTGGTGGCTGTTCTGCTCTGTGTGTTCTCAACAACAACAACAACAACAACAACCAAATTAAATAAATAATTTAAAGCAAAACAAACAAACAGATGGGCTTCGTCTTGCTGGTGCTCCTTCTCCAGATTTAGGAGCTAGGAGTTGCTCTACGTGGACACTTTCAAAAGAGAAAGACAAAACAGGAAAAAAGAGTAAAATTGCAAGGTCTCAGAAAACTAAAGTGTCACTGGAACTAAAGCCCACAAAAGTAGGACAGAACCTGTACCTAAATCTAAAGAGTAAGAAGAGAGAGTGCCCGCTAATAGAAGATTTATATCCGATCAAGAGTCTCTTAACAGAACAATTAAAATTACAGGATATAAACAAAGTCACCTGTCGTTCCAAGAGTCAGGAAAATCGCAGTTTGAAAGAGAAAAGGCAATCAATCCAAAGATGTCAATACGGAGATGAATCAGACATCTAAATTATCTCACAAGAATTTTAAAGCAGCCATCATAAAAAACACTTCAACAATCCATTACACATTCACGTGAAACAAATACAAAATAGAAAATATTAACACGGAAATAGAAGGTATAAAAAAGAACCAAAGGGAAATTACCAACTGAAAAATACAATACGAAATTAAAAAAAAAAAAAAACACAAACAGAGCAAAACTCGGCGAATGGGCTCAATAGTAGAGTGGGAATGAAAGAGGATCGAATCAGTGAACTTGAGAACAGATCAGTAGAATTTCCCCAATCTGATTAAAGAGAAAAAAAAATAGATTGAAAAATAAATAAAGCCTTATACATCTGTGGGACAATAACAAAAGATCCAACATTTGTATCATCGGAATCCCAGAGGGAGAGGAAAAACAGTGTGGGACTGAAAAATATTCAAAGAAATATTGGCTGAAAACTTAGCAAATTTTGCAAAAGACCTAAACATAAAAATCAAAGAAGCTGAGTGACTGCAAGACAAGAGAAACCCAAAGAATTCTACAAAAAGACACATCATGAAAAAAAAAAAGTAACGTCATAATTAAACTTGTGAAAACTAAGGACAGAGAAAAAAAATCTTAAGAACAGCGTGAGAGAAATGGCACATTCCCTAGACAGGAACACCAAGTTGAATGACAGAGAACTGCGAATCTGAAACTATGGAGGCCAGGAGGAAATGTCACAACAAGTTTCAAGTGCTAAAACATGACAATGGTCAACCTTGAACTCTAGCTCTGGAGAAACTATCCTTCAGACACAAAGGGGAAATAAAGTCTCTCAGAAAAAGGAAAACTAAGATACAAATTTTACTCTTAGATCTACTCTTAAAGAATGCCTAAAGAAGCTCTCCAAACACAAAGGCAATGATTATAGAAGGCTGGAAGCTTCAGAAAGGAAACCAGAACAATTGCATGGAGAAAAACAGAACAAAACATAATAGACTCAACTTCACCAAATAAAATTATTGATATTATCTGGTTGAAGCAAAAGTTGTAACACCATCTGAAGTGGTCCTTGAAAAATCAAGAACAGGGCTTTCAGTGGGGAAAAACGTTTTAACCCCTTTTCCGCCTCAAGGCAGTAAGCACAACTTTTCTTGGGGGCCTTTGCTATTTAATGAAAAGCCTTCTCCTGAGGAATGAATGAAACCCGTGCCCACAGGAGCTGAGAACAACAGCTCTTGCCTCCTGTAATGTGCTGGGTAATGGGAGCTTCTGAAAAAGACCCACTGAGGAAATCCTACCTGATTACATCTGACTATAGGAGTCCAGATCACCAAGTCCATGAGTCCCAGAACACTGGATACCCAAGGACTAAGGAGCCATGCTTAGCACCAGGGTAAAGTGCCCAGGAGTCACCTGATGATCCTGCTGAAATGCAAATTCTCCTTCAATACCACCAGCCAGCCTGGGCCCCAGGAGCAGCGGGCAATGCACAGGCCCCTCTCATCGGCTGCCGGGCAGGTTCCCTCCAGGGCAAGTGGCAGGTGGCAGCCAGCAGCAGGCATGCTGCTGCGCCTTCGCTGGGACCATGCAGGCTGTGGTGTCGCCGGTGACAAAGGCCATCTTCGTGGCTCTCTTCCTCTTCCCCATCCTGCTCATCTTCTACGTTATCCTGTGGTACATCTGCGGCGATGTGGACAATGACTACATCTGAGGCAGGTAGAGCGCGCCTTCCGCTCCCCAGGCTGGCTGCGCCCGCGTCCCCACGCCCACAGCCTGAGTCCCTCCTGGACCCCGCGGCGCCCGTCCCCGGGACCTCGTGCCCCTTCTCGGGACCCCAGGACCCCGCGACCTTTCTTGGGACCCTACGGCCGTCCTCAAGACCCCGCGCCCGTCCCCCGGGACCCTGCACTCCTTCCCCGGGATCCGCGCCTCTTCCTGGGACCCCGCACCCCGCACCCCGCTTCTGCTCCCACACTCGGCAGGCACCAATCTGGGATCCCAGGCTCCTTCACCCGACGCTGCGCTTTTTGCCTGGACCCCGCGCGGCTTCCCCAGACCCCACGCCCACTCCCAGGACCGGGAGCCCCTTCCTGGGACCCGCGCCCCTTCCCTGGACCTCGCGTCCTGATAATGAACTCACGCCCCTTCTGGTATCCTGCCTCTGTCGACCCCTCCGGGGACCTCGCATGTCGCTTCTGATCCCACGCTCCTTTTCTCACTCCATGCCCGCCCCAGGAATTCCGAGCCAGTCTCCAGGA